AGATTAAAAAAAATGAAAAATAATCAAACAAGGAATAAAAAGTTATTCAATCAATCGTGGCATCCATGACACTGTCCCTCCAATCATCATACTCTTCATCCTCTTCATCATTTTCATCAATGATGTACATGTTATCCACCAGCTGACCAAGCTGCCCTATATCACCCTCTGCGTGCATCATGTCCTGTTCAAACATTTCCAACTCATCCAGCGCTGTAGCTTCTATATTTTTTGCATTTACAACGCACTCCCAAATTGATTTACTCCTACTCAACAAACCATTCCAGCGGTGTATCAATGAATCGATTTCTTCAGCTGTTGATCTCGTATGTTGATAGGTTCTTTGCAGCAATTGGCCAACACTTGTGTTCCATGTCATCCATGTTCTGCAATGCTTCTGACGCAGATTATCATGCACTGCTCTTAAGACTGCTACACTGACCTCCCATGTATCTTTTGAAATCCGCTGACCAGGCTGAACCAACTCAATAATCTGCCTTCCGCCATCTTCAGCATTATAATCTGTTGATCACAATTTGAATTCAAAATACCATCAGAAAAAAAAGCCACACCTCCATTAGATGCATGTCTTACCAGTAGTGCACAATGCCAGTAACCCATCTAGCTTTTCTTTGGTCTTCAGAGCATGAAGAACCATTTGCTGAGTCTCCCGTCCAATCTGCCTGAGCTCTTCTTTACAACTTCGGTGTAGTAAAAATTCTTGTATACCTTGAATTGTTCCTGGGTCCACAGCCCACTTCTCAGTCGGATGAGAAAATGCCCCCATATTCCAGAAGACATCTTCAAATGGCAACCTTTTTGTTTCCTCATGTGTCGGACATGGCATGTTACTAAAGGGCTGTGTATTGTTATATGCTGTAACTTGAGTTTGGTAGGAAGTCCATTTTCGTCAAAAAAGCAACTGCTTCTTGTTCATTAATGTTTTTAGACCCTGTTGCGCTTTCGTACCTATACCCAAGAGAACAAGAGGATAAGTCTCAAAGACAGCTGGATACAATTCACAAGATAGACACGCCTTGACCCTCTTTGTCCCACTTCTTCTGGGTCTCTACTATTCCCACCTTGGCCTCATACAGCTTCATCTTAGCCAGGCGCATACGTATGAGAGCTTTTTTTTTATCTATGGAGGTGGTACATAGATAAATTAGCTCTAACCAAGCAACATAGTCATGTGTTACAAGGTTTACTCACCAGTAGCTCTCTGAAGATCACAAAACTCAGGGGTTCCCAACTCTTCTGCAATATCAAAAATGGCCTTCTCCATTGCCACGATTGAATCTGGTAAGGACATGAATCTTCCCATCTCTTCTTCATTCCGATTTGCTCTGCCTTTCCTTTGAAGAAGCTTGAGCTCCTGCCTGAATGATTCATCAAAATCAACACGGCATCAAAGGCAAAACTTGGAGATTTCCCGAGCCTCTTTCACTTCCTCCTCCATGTCAAGTGGCGCAATTAAATGCTTTTCTAATCTCTCTTGAACACCACCTTCTTCCATTTCTGCCAATTGGCACTCTCTCTGCCGCTCCCACAGACTTGAAAAATATCTGTATGTAAAGCTGATGTCTTGAGCCTGCAGCCGTTGTAGGGTGTTTGAGGACGCCACTAATTTTTCTTCTGCAGTCTTGAGCTTCAATTCAGTTGATCTAGCTGCATGCTTGAAAAAAAGAAACTGTCAATGTGGTTCATCTCATTAAATAAAGACCAAACATACCAGAATTGTTACAGCGAATTTCATTTCCATGACTTGCCTTCAAATCAATGGAGTCAACCCTGTGTTGCTTGGTTGCACATCTATTTGGTGCTATCACAGATGAAAGGTCAGACCAAACTCTTTCATTACCTCCACCATCTGTCAACGCCCAGCCATGTTCACCATTGGATTATATTTCAGCTGACAAGACCACTGGTGCGCATATGCATGAAAAGCACTGGTTGCAAACTTCAATCTACCTGCCGTATACGCCTCCTCAAAGTATTTATGCTGTGATGGTTTGCTTCTTTGGTCAGAAATGCCACAAATTGACTAATTAACTGCAGAGATCAAAATCTACCTTCTCAACACTCTTCTCCAACGTGCAGCCAATGTCATATAAGAGTGCAAAACTTTTTTTGGGTTTCCCTGGCTCCAACGTATCTTCCATAAGTTGATCAACCAAAGCTAATACAAAATACTGCCTGAGAAAAACAACAGTTGATCCATGAGCACGTATTAATACCTTGGCATGAGGGAAAATCCCTTACTTCTCCCCACTCTGAACTACATTGACAAATTTGAGCACATGATCATGTTGACAAACCAAACCAATCAACCCAGTTTCATCGCATCCCTTCCAAGTTGACTGTCCACGACGGTCTGATGCGGCTGTATGGGATGCTGTACATGGATCCCGCAAATCCTCAAAAATTCAATCAGATTTCCATATCTATCAATCACCTATATGTGAATGTGATTCACATATACGTGAATCTTATTCACCTATATGTGAATCTTATTTACCTATACGTGAATCACATTCACATATACGTGAATCATACGTGAATTATATACATTCACATTCGGAAGTGAAAAAAATAGAAGACACATGCCACAGGTCCTTTATCCACTCCCTTTTTGTCAACACATTCCTTCCATTGATTCAGCTTTCCAGCACCCAGAAAGAGTGGAGGATTTTCAAGCTCTTTCTCCTCATACTATTGGCTTGCCGCAAGATGTCAACGGTGTTGAAAGTTGCTGTCAGCACATAGTCACACTCTTCTGGCTCTTCATTTGCCTGAAGAGGTCCAAAACACCTCGGGCAATTCATAGCAAGCTGCTCCAAACCTGTGAGAAACAGTGCACATAACATGAGATCTTTCACCTTCCGTAGCATATGTCGATAAGCATCAATAGCTGAAGAAAATGTCTTTCGTCAAAGTTGAGGCTGAAGTAGTAGTTACAGAACATCAGATGGATTGAAATTTCATTTTGAAAACTTTGTACTGATTAATTTCCACCCGCCTGATTGAATTTTGTCAGTATAAGTGGATTTGCCGGGTCCAGAAATTCATCCAATCCAAGTGTAAAACCTTGGGTTCAAACAGTACAATATTTCCACAAGCTGTGGTGCAACCGGAGTAACCTGATTGAGTAAGCTGTCTCTGGATGTACTGGAGAGCCACCTATATAACCCATTCTGATCAGACGGATATGGTCTAAGGTACAATCACAGAATACTATTTCCTGCTGGTTGCGCTCTGGTAACAAATGTGTAACACAGTGGCTTCTATCAACACCGCAGGTCATGGATAGGTTCCAAAAGAACGACAAACCCAGAATATCCACCATGTCAACCTTACGAATCCGTTGGCGACTGATCCCACAGCAACAGTCTTGGTTGTGATTGGCGTTCCAATTTGAGCTCTTACCCCATTGTGAAGTGGCTTGTGACAAGGTCATGTAAGAAATGAACATTTCTGGTTATGCCTTCTTCCAGTTGTTGTGTTCTTTAAGTTTTTCTTTTTGTAATATGAGCCTGGTACATAATGCAAGAAGGGGACATTTGCGTCCGGTACAAATTCAGGATCAGTGCCAGCATCCTGATGTTGTGGGAGTATGTTATTGAAGTGGTTTTGATCCTGTAACCCAAGATCATGGTGGACTTTGTGATCTATTTGAGCATCCAATTCCATCTCGCCTTGGCCTGCCTGCTGGATGGCTTTTTCCATTTCCGCTATACATTTATTCACATATTGTGAATTGCTAACTGCAAGCTGTGCCACAGTCACCGCAGACCCTTCAGGTTTGGGTTTCATGCGCCTTTTCTTGTTGGATACACCTAGTGGACATGCAATATTATTTCCTTTTTTCCCCATGTGATTGATGATTGTTGATGATTGACCTTGTAGCGATGATGGTTAAGTGTGGATTTGCTTGTTTCAGCACAGAATTTTTAAGAGATTTGATTTGAGATATCAGAAAAATTTGTGGATACTATAAATTTTCAGTTGGGGAATGGGATTGATTTGCACCAGAGCTTTTATTTTCCTGTGGGGTTTCCACAGACGATACTGAGGGGTTCACCCCTTCCTTGATGAGGGCTTTGACATTTCTTCCACTTTTGACTCAAAGCGGACAGGGGTTGTTCCCCTGTCTACAAGCCCATACTTGCAAATTAATAGTCAAATGGAGGAAAGTGCTTTGACATTTCCCTTGACTAGTGCAATCCGTCTTGTATAGCAGACTAACATGGACGAGCTGATAGATATACACACCTTGTATATAGATCAATATGTATACCCCGTCAGTCTTGTATTCTGTATGTAGAAGTTATATCTACATACAGTACTTATGAAAGTGATAGGGATTTTTACTCATCTTTCCCGTTTTCATAAGCCAATATCTTTTCCCCGTTTCATCGTTTTAATCAAGCTTCGCTCTGACTGAAACCTAAGATCCAACACCATGCCTACCACTCGAGCTTCAGCCTCCCTCTCCTCACGGCTACACCCAGCTCAGAACACAAAAAAAAACGAAAAGTGCCTCAATTGGCTCCCTTCCCCCTACCCAAAAACGTAGAGACTCCAGCAAGAAAGGGAAAACCAACCGGACTCAAGTTAAACCACATTGTTCAACAATTCATGAGTCAGATAACCCCGATGACAATGATTATCATCAAGATGAGTCTTCTGATTCCAATCCAGATCTTAATCTTCGCCCTGTAGCATCACATCGAGGGTCCCAAAGAAATCTACTAGCCGATTCAAATGTTCATATTGATTTGGATGATGATGATATTTTCAATTGACTTGCAAGCCATTTTTTGCCGGAACTCAATTCACATCCTGCCCAAGATGAACCCGACGAGACGAGCAACAATCACAATTTGACTAACACTCCATTCAAGGATCGGACTAACACTCAAAACAAGGATGAGGCGATTGAAGAAGATGTGATCTTACCAACCATCAAAGAGTACAAAGGCCTACTTGACGGCTGGCCAATGGCTCGAATTACTGTACAATCTCATAGCCAGAAGAAGCATTCAACCAGTGTTCTCCCTGATATCTTGACCGAAGCCAAAGCCCTTCAAGAGCTATACAATCACCACAAGTCCATGCTTGCTTTAATGGGAAATGTTACTACTTTCACTCTTAACAAAGCCTTGTAAGTTGTAAACCTGTCCCCCATTCCTTTGTTCCATCTATACTTCAATTTGACTAAACCTGTTTACATCTACAGAGGCGAGATTGGAGGAACTTGTGAATCTGGAGCTTATCAGAAGTGGCTGAGGTACAGCAAAGAGAGATGTTGTCACAACAGTGAGTTGCAATATGATCTTGATGATAATGCGGTTACCTAACAATCTATGCTTTGATTTAGTGCCTGCAGGTGGTCAGACTGGTATATTAGGTGCTACAAATAAGCTTCTTGGGGAAATATGGACAGCTCTTCCTCTGGATCACCGCAAAGTATTTCATCCACCCGTCTTTTATGCTCTTTCCGGTATTTCACATTCCGCTGTTGAAGGAAGTGACAATGAAGACAAAGAACCTGTACAACCTCTGGTGCTTGACCCTGAAGAACAAACTCAGTTACAGGCTTTATATGATGAATTAGTTTGTAAGGAAAGGGTGGCTCAGGATTATGCTAAGATGGCAGCCGGTATTCCAGATGGACCAACTCTGCCAGATTACAATCAAAAATCAAAAAGATGTTTGGAGTGTATTCACACTCAGGTAAGCAGATTTTCACTAGTTCATAGTGATCCAGTGTCTTCTTTGACTTGTCATTGTTGAAAGCATGGTCCTTATGTCGCAGCTTTGTAATGAATCCAAGAACATGGATCTTGCTTACTATCTTCTAGCTTGCTGCACGCATGCTGCAACTGAGTCAAGCTCATCTTCTCCTGGATGGTTCAGAGAGTTCACATCACACAATGAAATGGCATTGTATGTAAATAAGAAAAGTAACCTCGGAACTGTATTTGCAGCTTGGGTCCAAGGGCTCTCCGTTGCTGAGGTGGTTGCTTCTACAATTGTGGGAAGTACAATGGTAGAGAGTGAGAAGGCTTGAAAGACTGATCCCAGGGATAAAGTTAAGATAGATCCGGCTGCTTTACTTCTATCAAAATTCAGTAAGTAACATTGTATAATTCCTCTAATATTTAAATACCAAATTTAAATACCTCTGTGTAATTCAGGTAAAATGATTGGCTACGAACATGGATTTCCAAGAGGACCTGATCCGGAAAGTATTTTGGAAAACAAGTATCTACTTAAAATCATTCAATTACCTGGCTCCAAACTTTCAAAGGAGGTCTTGAAGCTAGGTTTCAATGGGATGAACGGTTGTAGGAAGATTTGGTTGGATGATGTCCAGGCAAACCTTTTCAAGATGGTTAAGTTGTCATCTGCCCACTCTGACGGTGAACATGAAGATGATAATATCCGTGATAATTCTGGTGCTGAACAAGAAGTAATGAGGACTCAGGATATTCAAAATAACCTGGAAACTGATGACCTGATGGGCTCAGAAGAGAAGTGGAATGGGTTAGGTGAAGATTTTGACGAGGAATCAAAATTGAGAAACTTAAGATTGATCCTAAATTTGTAATAGAATGAAAACGTGTTTAGATTGAAACTCCTGTTTTAAAACTTATTATTCCTTTCCATTGATGAATAGCTCCAATAAAAATAGTCACCTTGCTGTTATTGATATTCATTTTGAGGTGAATCTCATGTGATATAGAAGATATCAGTGAAAATGGAGACCATATATGTGAATCCTATTCAGATATGTTATGAAACACATGATTCCAATTCACATATATGTGAATTGGAATTGTGCGTTTCATAACATAGTCATATGTGGTTTGTATATTTGTGAACATGAATATTCACTCTCATTTGTGGTGGTACATACATATAAATACAATTTGTGAGGATTAGTGTTGGATAAACACTAATCCTCCTTGTGGACATGTACTCATTACGTGTGAACATGAAGTACTCACATGCACATCTTCATGTACATGGTCCTAGGACCAGTTAAGGTGGCATAATCTGAAAATGCAGCTTGTGCATGTGTGGTACATGTTGCAAATAGTTATGACACTTACCAGACCTGGTATGTGTGTACTTATGAAAAAACCACTGAAAAATTCCCACAATACATCCTTTGATGATGATCCCAAATATATGTATCCTTGCCTAGTCTGCCAGAGGGCCAATAAAGGTCCCTGAGTCTGAATATCCACTCAGATTCAGGGTGGTACATACACAGAAAAAGTTGTGTTGAAAATTCTCTTCCAAATCCAGCTATGTGTGTTTTTCCAAAAAACAACATGAGTACATCCTTTGATGATGATCCCAGATACATATACACTTGAGTAGTATGTCATAGGACCAATCAAAGTCCCTGAGTCTGAATATACACTCAGATTCAGGGTGGTACATACACAGAAAAGGTTGTGTTGAAAAATCTCTTCCACATCCAGCTATGCGTGCTTTTTCAAAAAAACAACATGAGTACTTACTTTGATGATAATCCCAGATACATATACACTTGAGTAGTATGTCATAGGACCAATCAAAGTCCATGAGTCTCGATATCCACTCACATTCAGGGTGGTACATTCACAGAAAAAGTTGTGTTGACAAAGCTCTTACAAATCCAGCTATGCGTGTTTTTTCAAAAAAGAAAATCAGTATATCCTTTGTACATCCTTTGATGTATATGAGTGGTACATATACATATATATATGTACCACTCATTTTATGTGTGGTACATACACAGAAGAAGTTGTTTTGGAAGGATCTCTGTGGTAGAATTGATGTGTTGAAAAAACACTTACAAAAACATTGCATGTCCTGATGATAAAACAACAAGATTACCTCTTCTGAAGGTTTACATACATACCATTCCCTGATGTGAAAACCCCTGACTTCAATTTACAAAACATTGTATGTTGATTAACACAAAGAAACATGTGATAGTAAAACAAGTAGCTCTTATTGTGAAATAGAAAAGGAGTAAAATCATTTACATGAGGGTGAAAGATATTCACCCTTATGTGAATGTCTCTTGAGCGGGAATTTACAATAGGGTGAATTTCATTCACCTTAATGTAAATGACCTTGGGTCTATTCATTTACAATACAATGATGATAGCACTTTTCTAAAACCAAGCAAAAGACCAGAACATCGAGTTTCATAATATAAAAAACATCATATGCAATATTTCTTTATTTGCAAAAAATTGAAAAAGCCAGCCGCCAAAGAAAAAATTGAAAAAGCCAGCTCAAAAAAAAATTCAAACTGTAACAATTTATTTCATTTCAGTCCTTGGGCTTTCAGCTCCCTTTTCTTCTGCTGCTCCTCAATTCGTAAAAGTTCTTTCTCTTCTGCCTTCGACATCTTTTTAGTAAATTCTTCATCATAGCCTTTGATGCTGATCTTACAATACTTGTGCCAGTCTAAATTGGACATACCCTCTTTCTTATCTCCAAGAAGCTTGATTCTTTGAACCAAGGATTCCGATATCTGACAAGAAGATCCATATAATGTAATGGCGGATTTTTTGTGAGGAATCTCTAGATCTTGACCATTGTATGCTATTGATGGTGTTGTGTAATGTTCAATCTTCAAGTTAACAAAAACCAATCAGCAAATCATTCAATCATTGAAAATCTGCAGGATCAGATTCACTTACTTTTGAATCCCATAAGACATCATATATCGCATTACTACCCACTGCTACTTTGACTCCAAATTCATCCACTAAAAATCTTGAACCCCTTACATCACCAAGCTTGACTCCAGCTCTCCCCCTTACAATTGCACCCTTATCTTTGTCATAAGGTTGCCCAGTTGCTTTAATAATCAAAGACCACATTTCAAAAGAATATCTACTATGATCTTTATCAGTGTGAGGATGATTATGAAATCCATCACATGTGACTACGATATTCAAGGCAAAAACTTGCCCATTTGGAGTCCCTTGCCACTCCAGGGCATCAAACCCAGGCACATTGGCTTGAAATGCCAGAGCAAGGTTAGATTTAAAAACAAAAAGTGATAAAGTGGAGAATCTTTCAGCCCAGAAGTCGCGGATAATATGAAAGCTTTCCATCCTTTGTTTGTCCGTGAGTAATTGGTCTATGTTTCCTGATGTGAAGCCATTAATTGAATAACCTCCTGAACAGTTGTTTGATAGGATGGATATCATCAGCAAATAATTTAGGCAGAAGATGGAAATTTAACTCTCAGAAACCCACCTGCGGATTTATCTTTTTCACAGCCACCTTGCCAACCACCACAACCCAATTCCCCTGAATATCAACATCCCGATTTTGAAGTGAGCAATGTGTTGTACACACTTTGGTTCCTAGCACGTGCATGTAGAAAAGTTGTCGAGATAGAATGATTATAATAGCTGAGATCGAAATTCAATGAGGTTGATTGATGATGGTTGTAGTTGAAAGGAAAGAATTGAATTGATAGAAATAGATAAATTTGTTTTTGGAGTTTGAAGTCAAAAGATTGAATGAGGGTAGTGTCATTACTGAACAAGAAGCAAAGATCAAAAGAAAAGAGATGAAAACTTACTTACATAATGACCAAAATCGAAATTGAAAGATGGAGATCTTGATTGATTGATTTAAATCAAAAAGAAGGGTCAGAATCGAAAGGGAGATGAGATTGAGGGTGGTAGGAAGAAGTTTGATGCAATGAGGGTATGAAGTCGAAATTGAAATTGATCGGACCAAGAGTAAAATGAATCTAAAAGTTACACAAACAACAAAGGAATCAAATCAAAAAAAAGAAAGATTAAATTAGTAGGAAGAATGAACAATAAAGAGAAATGAGTAATAGCAAAATAAATCAAAAGAATTGAAATAATTTACCAAATAAGAAATCAACCTATCGATCTATAAAGAAGAATTAAAGGAGTCAGTAGAAAGACAAACAAAGATAGATAGATGAAAAAACTCACTTTAATAAAGGTCCAGAATTGAAATTTAGATAACTGAAATGAAGAATGTGATAGTGGAGACAAAAGAAAGTGGAGAAAAGAAAGTGGATAAGGAATTAGAAAACTTACTGATGTGATTTGAGAAAGAAAGTCCGATCGGAGATCGAGTTGCAATTTGGTAAGGAGAAAGGGATTGAAGAGCTTCTCTTGAGGAATCTATTGTGGGGGTTTGGGTCTGTGTGTAGAATCACATTTTTTGCTTTTTTTTGATCCATCCATCGGATCATTCTCGAGAGTTTTTTTTGTGTGATTCAAGTCTAGGTGTCTAAGAGTGTTCTGAAGAAGTTTTTTGAAGTGGTATCATTTTAAAGTGTTCTGATTGTAGTATCGGTAGTTGTATCTGATCTAAAGTGCTCTCGGGTGTTAGTGTGGTTTCTGAGTCTTATTAAAAGTGTTCTGGTGCTTGTTGTCAGTGTTCAATCAGGATTAGTTTCATTGTTTAAAGTGACCTATCAAAGTGTTAAAAAAAGAAAGAAGCACATATCAGTTTTCATTTAAAGTGTTTTATGTTCCTATTAAAATCAAGTTTGTTGAGATGTAAAAGAAAAGAAAGATAGATAAAGACAACAAAACCTTTATTGTTGCTTGAAATCTCATTTGTAGTTATTAGTGTGTTGAAGTTTATTGCTGTTGGTGTTAGTTTTTTTTTGGTATTTTGCTGAGCTTGGTCAGAAATCAGTCATCAACTCGTCGGGTTAGATTACAGTTTGAAATTACCTCGGACCGGGTTGAGTCAGGGCTTGAGTTGTTACATTTACAATTTTTACAATTTCACTTTTACATTAAAACTATTTACAATAAAACTCAACATCAACATAGCTTTGTATCACCCTCTCGTATAGTGTAGTGTGGGTTACTGTTGGATTCCGCCAGATCTTGCGGATCTTTTAGTATTATTATAAAAGGCTTACGGGGTAGATTGTGAAGATATAAATTTGTTAGAGAATTGCTCCTGTGTTATTTTTTATTTTTTTATTTTTATTTTTGAACTTTTATTTCAAGGTTGAGGGCAGTCTACGACAATCATAGTTTCACCCGCATCTTGTTATTCTTTCTGCGTGTGATTCTTCCCCTCTCCGGCTCAGCCTACGCCACACAGTGTAGGAGTTCTACATCTGGTGACTCCACTGGGGCAATTTCTCAAAACAACTTTTGTGTCTTTGCGGGTGCTCTTCTTCAAAAGTAGTTTCTCAAGTTCAACATATCAATTTCAATATTCAAATTCATCTTATCATCAATTTGGAATGGGTCTGGGCTTCAGGGCTGATCAGCAGCATGGATTACGCTTGACTGCCCAAAGGCAAGAGTCTTTTTATTAGCGTGCAATAGAGAAAAACAGATACGCGGAAAAAAGACAAAAAAACAGAAAAAAGAGAAAATCTGGTTTAAGATAAAACCTGACACCTGAGAGAAGAAAAAACACCAAAGTTCAACCGCCCTCGTAGTGGGAAGAGTTGTGATGGTAATTTGAGAGTGGTGATGTGGGAGATCTTGTCGACAAGGTGGTTGAACTCTGCACCATTTCTGTGTTGTGGAGATAAAAGGCACGGGGGCATGCCCGGTGTACTCTTCTCAGCATCAATGATTGCGAGCGTTAGTGTGTCATGAGGACTAACGTGCATGGGGAGGTGATGTTAATCAACACTCCTAGGAACCGCGAGTGGGTACTTCCTATGACAAAGAACCTGTGGAGAGGTTCTTTGGTCAGCATTTATACGGAGATAAGACACGAAGTGACTTACTCTATGCTGCTCTTGATCAGGTTTGTCAAGAGTGATTACTGCCTTAGCTCTGGTCCACGGCTGTGGGGAGGAAGAAGTATGAAGAGAAAAGAGTCAGCGGAAGTGACATCATTTTCGAGAGTCAAAAGACTGTTGTAGGTGGCGGGAGTTTTTTGGGAGGCTTACGAGAGGCGCTCCTGGAAACTCGACCTGCTCTCCTATGGACAACCCTGAGGTTTGGGCAAAGCATTGTGTTTTTTTCAAGTTCAACAATGGGTGACTTCGGATATAAAGTTCCCACGAGTCGGAAGACCATCTGCCGATTTGGCGGATGGTTTTGTGCTCCATGCCACTTTGAGCGAAAGAAGTTGCCCCTCCGGCGCGAAGGGAATGGCCTGAGCGAGTTCTGTCGAAGATTGCTTGAAGGTGTTGGATAAACCAGGTGCGTGTTGGTTGAGAGCCGTTTTCACGGATGAGAAGCATGGGTTCCAATGGGAAACACCTGTCGCGCCAGACGGTGCAGAACAGGAGTGCTTTGACTGGGCAAGTAGGGTCGTGAGGCCGCCTGACAATGGTTACTGGGGTTCCATTGTAGTTGGGATCGGCTTTGTGGTAAGGTAGGTTGTAACATGCCACTGCTCCGCATAAAGAGAACACTAGTAACGAGCGTCGGATGGATTTTCGTTGGTTTTGGAGTTTCAGAGAGTCTGGTACTACCAGTTCGCCTAGCCTGTGGAGCGCAGAGAAAGCCAGACCTATGATGGCGTTGAAGAGCGCATTGTCAAAAGTCGAGTCGTAGTTCTTGAGGCACAGTTCGACGTCTCGAAGCGTCATTGGGAGGGCTTGTGTGACTGGCATTGAGAATAAGTTTTTGCAACCCTTGAGAGATTTTTTGACGCGGTCTGAGTGTCTTACTTGGTCGACCCAAGGATATTGGGCTCGCATCATGTAGGCTATGCCGGTGAGGTATTTGCCAACAGTTGCTGGGAGTAGTTCCCTCGAAACAATCGAAATGAAGTGGCAGACTGGAATGTCTTGATCTTCGCAATACCTTTGGAACCGGTTTGCACCGGATTCGTACTTTGCTTTTGAGTTTGGTTCGAGGTGATGGTTAATGTCCGCTTTGTTCATTGATTCTCTTTCTTCAAAGGTGAGCTTCTTTTGGGGTTTCTTCGATTTAGGCATGGTGAGAGAGAGACGAGTGAGAACGATGAGATAGAAAAAGGAGTGAAAAGCTGGTAGAAACGGAAAAGAGGAACTATTGTAATTATAACTTTTGGTACGGCACAGTATCTGTCGGTTGCTTTTTCAAATTATTTTGAGAGATCTGACTGTTTGTTCTGAATGACCAATAAGAAAGATCGAGAGCTGAAACCTCCAACCAGGAGAGAGGGGTCTGGTTCGATATTTGTGACCGAGACGTGTAGAGCCAACTGTTTGAGCCTGTCGGAGTTCGATCTTGAAATTGTGTCTGCTATTTGGTTGTCATCCGCTGAAATATGACGCACTTTGACGTCCAGGGAGTGTCGGAGCATTAGATTGACTGCAAATTTGAAAATTGTTCTTATTGAAGGGATTGGCTTATGTGAGCTGAAAAGGTGATGAACCGATTTGTTTTCGGTGAAGATCAGAGCTTTTTGAGCCTTGAGATCGGCCGCGAACTTTATCGCCATAGTTACCGCAAGAAGTTCTGCCCAGTATATGTCACGGGCTGGGGGCGGTAGGGTGTGACTCCAGCCGATTGCCGTGGCCGGCTGCCATATGCCAATACCGGTCGGGCATGTGTCACAAAAGAATACACAATCGGCCGATTGAAGAGGCCAATGTAGCGTTTTGAGTATTCTGCGACCCTGCCATGCTTCCAGAGCGTCGGCAAGCCAGTTGAGGCCGTCCTTGTTGGTCCAATTCAGAGGTATGTGGGCGCTGCAAATCGTCTTACCCGAGGTTTTATCCCAGGAGGATTGGATGGCCCATCTTCCCAACGGGAAGATGTTGAGGGCCCAGTTTGCCCAACCCGTTATCCTCTGCCATTCTACTAGAGGATGAGAGATTTTTGAGGTGAACTGTCGTAAAGCTTTGATGAGTTCTTTTCTTTTTGATTCCGACAGTGAGATTGACAGTTCGTCGTAGTTGATTTCGTGGCCGATGACTTCGATGGTGCTGCCAAAGAGCTGTTTCTCCCAGGCCCATGGTACACCAATAATGTTGAAAAGTGTTAGGAACTTTGCTTGATTGCAAGGAATTTTTCGACCTTTGAACGTGACCATATTTTCGGCCAATTCTGAGCCCCATGAGTCGTCCATATAGCAGTTAAGTTCTGTAATGTTGAACTCATGATATGCTATCCATAAGACTAACGAAAAGAACAAGCACCACAGCTTCGGAGAGCTAGAGCATCCAAAGTTCACGTTTCGGTCAGCATGGAACGCCTTGCCTATCTTCACAATTTGGCGAAGTTGCCATTGAAGGTGTGCCGGCAATACTCAAAAAGCGCCATCAACATCTGATTTCCAGATAAGTATACGGTGCTTGGATCGATGATGAATTAAGAGATTGGGTATAAAGGAAGAGATCAAGTCGAGATCGATTTTTATTTTTTCTTTATTTATGAGGTCATTTGGGGAAGGTCGGCCAAAAGACATGTTTGCGCAGGTGCGGACCTTTCCGGAGTTTGGATTTGTTGCCAGGCATAAAGGGGACACTTTCATGCCGGGGAGCAGAGTATAAAAAGGCGGGGAGTATCTTCCCAGGTTCATTTCTTTGTCCCTGGCTGTTTCGAGAATTTTTTTGGCTTCTATGCCGGAGGCATGGTTCTCGTAGAAAACAGTTTCATCTGAAGGTTTCGCTGAAATTGGCCAAAATCCTTCAGTAAGACCTAGTATGACAGAGTCTACGAACGGGCAATTTGGATGCTTTTTAAGGAGAAGAGTGAAATTTTTTATGTTGATTGGACAAGTAATTTTAAATAAATCCGGCCTGCAGTTGATTGCATAGGCCGCTAGAGGGTCTTCTGAAATGGGAGGAGCTGAGGGTAAAGGATCGGCGTGAAGGGAGGACTCGACTGAAGCGGAAAAACCTTTAGAGAGTTCGTCGATTTCCAGACCTCGGAGGAAACGGCGATTATTTGGCTCATTTGTGAGCGCTGCCTCCTTGATGAGCAACATTGCATCCAGCTTTGTTGCACATGTTGTGGATTCGGTCGCACTCAGCGTCTGTGTGGGGACAAACGCCAAGGTTCCAATTGTTACAGATTTGATCAGCCAAATCCAACCCTTTGCCGCTTTTGATGGTGTAGTTTGGTTTGTTTTGTCGGCCTCTGACCTTCTTTGGCTGAGTTGACTTGGATGGCTTCGGTGAGAGAGGCGTTTGGTAAGCAGGTTGGTCGGCGACGCGCATGGGAAGGGAAGTCTGGGGAGTACGTTGTGCGTGAGAAAATCTGCTAGCAGCACTGTACAGCACCCGGTTATTGATTCCGCGGAGGCTGTCGTGGGCGTAATCGCCCCACACGAGCCATGGTCTGGAGGCAAACTCTTTGCGCATCTCGACGTCAAAGTCGCGGACGTCTTCCCAGTTAACTTTGGCTTGAAAGAGGCCTGGAAGGCCAAAAATATATTCGAAATATTTTTTGATTGACAGCGCTGCTGGGGGGAAAGCCGCGATATAGGCATGGCGTGCGACAGACAGGAGGTCCTTCCAGTGGTCACTATTTGTGATTTCTTTGGGGGGCGCGCCGTCGACGCTTTTGAGTTTGCCGGCGTCACTGACTTTAAGGAAGGCTTCGGATGGTCCCGTCGAGGATACCTCGCCGTACAGTTTTCGCAAGTCAACAAGATTGTACTCAAGGAGATCCTTGGTGAGGCAGTTGTGCCAATTAGCCGGTTTGTTACTGCATGAGTTGAAAAGAGAGACATATTTTTTAATGTTTGATTTATATTTAATTGTGATCTTTTGTATTTGACGAGATAGAGGAGAAAATGCCTCCGGGGAGAGGTGTTGATTATGGGCCAAAAACGGGACCTCATCATCATCATCCCCTTCGGATCCAGAGTCAGCTGGTGCTGGTGGCGGATTATAATCTTTTTCCGATGAAGAATCGGATGAAGATGACAACAAAGGAGGGGAGTCGTGCTTTCTTCGTTTCTCTTCCTTGAAAATTGGACGAGCTGGCCGTTTTGCTGCAACTTTGTTTGCTGAGATGGGTGCAATTCTGTCGGCCAGGCTGCCGCCTGGCTGAGCGGCCTGTAGTTTGACATTGGAGCCGCTAGCTGTCAGCTGTCGAGGTGAGGATACGCGTAGAGAAAGGGGAATCTTGACTTCTTGTGGCTCCTCGCTTTTTGATTGAGATGAAATACGACGGCGGTGTCTTCGTTGGTTTTTCTTCTTTCCAGGCGAGGGAGGGGTTCCGGGAGAAGGCAGTCAAGGATTGAACGGAGGTGGAGGTGGGGTCGACGCTGTAGGTTTGGATTCGAGGTGAGCGCTTCCAGCCGGAAACATGGATAGATCCTCCAAGTTTTGGTTTGGATCGGATGTTTTGAATCCCGCTGGAAGGCGTTTGCCAATGAATCCACAAGGAGGCCGGTAGTGTTTGGTGTCGTTAGCTGGTTTGGCTTTCCTACTGAGAACGTAGGGTTTACTAGCCCAAGGGTCTGCGTTTTCGGGAAGCTCGTCCACCATGCCGTATTCAATTTGGCGTTGAGCGTGGTTGAGAGCGATGGCCACTCTCGCAATGGCAGACCAGTGGTAAATCCAATCTGGCGACGATATGTCGTAGATTTGTGCCACTTGGTCACGGAGTTCCCCCATTGATATGGAGGTACTCCCACCCATGATATCGTAGTTCTCAAGGATCTCATCGATGGCTTTGAAACGATCATGGGTGGAGTTGGCCTCAGCTATCATAGTCAAGAAGAAGAAAAAAGCTCTGGAGCTTTGTTTAGCAATGAATTATTTCGTCAATTGAAGCGACTACTTTGTATTTGGAATGAAGTTTTATTCTTTTTCGAAGAATTATCTCAATAAGACAAAACAACAAAAATCGAATTATTTTTTGTAAAGAAACGAAATGAATAATAGGAGAGAGAAATTGTCAAACAGGTAACTAATTCAACGGGGGACGAAAATGTTTTGATAATGAAAATTATTTTTGAATGTGGGACAAACAGCCGCTTGCGCTGAGGATGGGAAATATAAGGGATATTTGACCAGCTGTTCTTTGCATCTTATCGTCCATCCTAGCACGGCATGTGAGATGGAGGAATCTCCGCCGGATAGGAATGGACGTTAAGGTTCCATCCCGCGTGCTTCAACGTACCCGGTCCGCCATTTTCGACCCCATTCCCCTTTGTCAATACGCGTACCGACACCGAAAAGTACTAGTCATTCCGCAAATCATCAAATCTCAAATCTCAAACTTATCAAATTATATTGCAGAACTACGCGCTGAAATTCATTCAAGTCCGGAAGAAAATTGTTCATCTCAGTTGAACATTAACTACTCAAATCGTATTTCCAATTCTGTGATTCACTTCAGATTATTTCATCAGAAGTAAAATTATAATATCTCAACATTTTTTTCCGCAAACCATATGTTCAAAATTTTCTTCTCCAAATGGGAATACGGGTCCTAGTGATCAGATTCCCATTCTGCTACTGTTACACAGTTCCATGAATATTTCCTGAGTAGCCATTGTGATATATGTAGTCAATATTTTGAAATGTGCGTCTCAATCTGAACAAAGTTACAGCATGTATTACACATGATTTTCTTATCTAGATGAGCAGATAGCTGAGCGGACCTGTATGTAGCTGATAGCTAAGGATTTACTCAGATGTTTGCACATATGTAGTGTATGCTTTATGGCTCAGATGTGCAGTGCAAGATGATTTGATTCTCCATTCTTCTCTCAATGATATTCCCAGCCTAGGTCATGTTCCGACCAGGGAACCTATTTAATGCTGGCAGTGCATTCAAAATTTTCTTCTCCAATTCACATCAACTCATCTTTGAAATTTACCTCAAATCATCAAACCAGATTCCCATCAGATGATCCTTGTGGTGATCTTCATAATTCTCTACTTGCGTATTTAAAGCTCATCAAAATTAAAATTTCATCATACCGGAGTTTTTTTTAAAAAAAAAAAATCCCTTTATTCAGATTCTGGATCTCAACTTCAATCAAATTTCAACTTCTGCTCGGATACAATTCTGAAATTGTGATTTATCAAAATTATTTACCCAAATTATTCAGACATTCATCAATCAAGCTTGCAAATTTTTGTTTTTAATCTTAATTTAGAAATTAGAATCCGCAATATCACATTTCTGGAAATCATTGAATCTCATATCTCAGTATGTCATCTTCTCAAAAGGATCTTTCACCGGCAACAGATTCAAATCAAGCTGCAGTGGATAAGGCTCTGGCTTTAGTGGGCGGTCAAAGTGGTAGCGGAATTCAAGGCCAGTTGTATAGAGACAATAAGGAAAGCGTTCAGGAATCAGATGATGATGTTACTCAAAAGGGGACGGGTGTAGGAGGTACATTTAAGGAGGAAATTGTTTCACTTCAAGAGGTAGAGGGAATGGTAAAGGACGGTGGAATGTCAGTTCATGATGCAGAAGAATATTTCAAGGAAGCTAAATTACATATGAGGAGAGTTTTGCAAGCAGTGGAAGACGCGAAATTAAAGGCGGAAGTTCAGGAGAAGTCATAGAAGAAAAGTAAGGGTAAAGGAAAGAAGAAGAATTATTCTGGTAGTAGTTCAAGTTCAGATAGTAGCAGTGATGGAAATTCAAGTTCAGATGATGAAAGTTGTGTCAAAATTATGAAGAAGAAGAAGAACAAGAAGAAGGTTGTAAAGATTGAACCTCAAGATTGTATGAGTAAATTCATTGAATTTAAAGATAAGACATCAACCGGGTTTGACGCAGCAGATCCAATATCAGACCAGGACATATACAACTTTATAGCTTGGGCTGGAGAGTCAGCAGTAGAAGTAGAAGACGGACCAGCTCGCCCGATTAGTTCAATCACCATCAAGAAATATTTGGATGGAATTCGGGCGTGGAACATCGTGCGCCATACTGCGATCCCAACGGCACACCCCGATGTTGTAAAGACCTTGCTGTCAGCGACAAAACGGCAAGAAGAAGAGGAAGCATTAGTGACAATAAAGAACCCAATTATGATTTGGCAACTTTTTAAACTGTTAGAGTCGACTTACAAGGGCTCAGAGACCAATCAGCTAGTTGGAACCGTCGGCCTGGTGGCTTTCTGGGGCATGGTGAGCCTCGGCAAACTACTTTGAACCACAATCGAGAGTGGCGCAATCCTGAGACGTCATGTAGAATTTGGTTCGAAAAGAGGAACAAATTTTGTCAAAATTCACTTGAGGAAAGCGAAAACCGCCAAGCCCGGAGAAATCCAAGTCATTCACTTACAACAGCAATTGAATGTCCTTGATCCTGTAGTAGCCTTAATGCGTTGGATGGGAAAACAAGCCGATAAAGACCCTGATAACATCCTGTTCGCGGCTCAGTACAAAGGTGAAACCAAGGCTTTGTCAAAAACCAGATTTGTGAATGTGGTATTGAAGGTTTGGGGGAAAGCGAGTGTAGGCACCTGGAGTGGCCATTCATTTAGGGTTGGAGGCGCCTTGCTTCGTTTCAACTTGAGGACACCGATGGAAAAGATTGCTCGCCAGGGGAGGTGGTCGTCGATGACATACCTACAATACCTGAAGGCGTACACCAACAAAGACTTGGAGGACACACAGAGATTCCTGGCGGCTATTCTAGATGTGAATTGGAAAACTCGTATGACACCCGGTTTGTGATGGGGAGAACCTGTGGAGGGGAATAGGAAGGAGTCAGCAAATACATATTATCCTGATGGAAAATTGGACCGTATAGTGCCAGAACCTGAGCCAAAACCTTAAATTTGTGAGACTTCAGTTCAAATGAATTAGAAACACCTCTTGGCTGAATATGATCGACATGAGCGAGTAACCAAGAAAGTGAGTTCAGGTACCTGATGAGCGTAGTGGGCGTGTGCCATGATAGGCTCAGGACGCTTGATCACACACCTGAGTTTGAGTGATCACACACACTTATCTCGGAGGGTGGGGGGGTCCGGAATGGAGGAGTCCCGCCCAGGTCCCTTGGTTCTTGAAAACCAATTCCGGGGCGGGCCCTTCACTACCCCAACCCACGGACTCTTGACTCAAAGTGAAGAGTCCGTATCCGGGTAGGACGCTCACCACCAGTAGCCCGAAGGGCTACAGGGGTTTTAGAAAAGGTTCCTTGATCTAAAGACAAACAACAGCCTAGCCACTTCACTCACAAGCGCATGAGTAGAATGGATTTTCAAATTAGGCAAAAAAAATTCAACGGCCTATGCACTCAAAGCTCAGCAAGACACCAGGAGTTTATTGCCAAGGCCAAGCAGTTGGATTATAAGGGACGGTCCCCTATCTCATGCTGGGGAGTACGATGGAATGTAGACGTTGATTACCTCAAACGCTTGACTGACGCCCGCAATGTAAGTACATTTCATTCATCCTAGACTCTTATATCTCGTATTGAATATCATCTCTTGCTTTATAGGCTGTAGATGCAATTCTCCTTGCGGATTGCAAACCTCGTTATTTCCAAGGTATACATATCAGCGCCGATGAATGGGATTCAATCGAGACCCTAGTTGGAATACTCCAAGTATGCTTTTTCTTATTTTTCTTTTAATCCTTGTTACTTTCATCTTTGGTCTGTCTGCTTAGGTAACATATTTGCTTCTCAGATCTTTCTCTAACCTACCAAGCGAATGGAAGGCAATACCCTCACTGGGTGCATTCTGCTTGGCAAATACTCACGGATCGTTCAAGATGTTGATAAACTGGAGAATATTTGTGAAGACCCGGAACTCAAGAGTATGCTTGAGATCATGCAAGTCAAGCTGGAAGGTTATCAAGCCGAGGCTGCTTTGACCGAAGTGATTGTCTTAGCAACAATTCTCAATCCTTGTTTTTGCCTCCGATTCTTTGATCTCAACTATCCTGACAAGGCTGCCCGAGCCAAAACAATCTTCTTTCATGCCTTTGAAGACGCTTTGCGAGAATGGCCCAAGGATCCAGTCACAGATGTCATACAACCATCCCATACGCCCTCCCCTCCTGCCTCGCCTCTTCACAACTCCACTGCTTTTGATGTGTTTACCACACAAGTCTCAACTCACAAGGTCGAAATCGCTGCGCTACGCACAGCAATATGAGGGGTACTGGATAGTGGTGTGAAGTACCACTATCCTGAGGCCCCGCTACGCACCACTATCTTGGAAGACCCACTACAACATTTATGTAGTGGTGTGGGTAACTCACTACAGGCCACTACGATATAGTCTCACTATTGCTATTATAGCGCACACGGTTCGTTTTTAATATGAACAAAGAATCTTATTAAAAGGCATATAAAAAGTTAATCAGAAGATGTGTACAAGAACAATTAAACTTTTGAGTACGAGAGTAGATGAATTGGAGAAAAAAATAAAAAAAAAACTGTATTAAGGATAGTAAAGAAGCAGAAGGAGAACCAAATGATTGAGTCTGAGATAAATGAAAGGAATCGAGACTTTAAGAATGAGATGAAGAGAGACTGTAGGAGGAAAATAATTCAAGCAAAACTGTTTTTAAAGATAGTAAAGAATCTGAAGATCAATTGAAAGTGAGAATATGTGAAAGAAAAAATAGATTCATCTGTTATCCATCTCCTTCACCAAGGCAAGAGCCTCAGAAAACTCGCCTGGAACCTTGATCCCAGCCCTGAGCCACTCCTGAGCGGAAGCACATCGCTCGATGGTACGGCTACTCATAGCCGATTGATCGGACCCGCACACGTCAGCAGCACCTGA